GAGGCAGAGACACAGGCAGAGGGAGAAGCAGGCTCCATGCACCAGGAGCCCGACGTGGGATTCGATCCCGGGTCTCCAGGATCGCGCCCTGGGCCAAAGGCAGGCGCCAAACCGCTGCGCCACCCAGGGATCCCTAAACGTCTGACTCTTGATTTCAGCTCAGGTTGTGATCTCAGGGTCCTGGGATCAGCTCTGAGTCAAGCTCTGCTCAACGGGGAGTCTGCTTGGGGATTCTCTCTTCCTCTCCCTCTGCCCCTCCCCCTGCTCACATTCTCTGTAGCGCTCTCTCTCAAATAATACGTGGATCTAAAAGACTTCCCAAAAAAGCAAACAAAAAACACCTGCCACCAACAATAACAACAGCACTTACTGATTTACCATGTGCATTTCCCTGTGTTAGCTCATTAATTCTCATGACCACCCAAGAAGTAGGAACTACTATTACCTCCATTTTATAGATGAGGAAACTAAAGCACAGAGAGGTTAAGCCATTGGCCTAAGGTCACACGGGTAGTAAATGACAGGTCCAGGTGTCACCAAGAGCATCTTCAGTGTCCCCCCATTCAGAGGTTCATGCACTTCTACTTCATCTCTGTCCTCCAGGTTTTCAAAACTGTTGCCACAGTGTCGAATACGGTTTCCTCCAAATTCTTTTGCTGTCTCCTGAATCTGTACTTATGTGTCCTTTCTCCCTGTTGCCCTTGTATATTCCGACCTCATTTGCACAAAGTACAAGTCATGGTGAGCTCGGATTTTTCTGTGCATTGGGGCTTGCAAAAACCAATTAATTCATGCTTATCTTCTCCAGTAGAAATATGAATGTGACTGCAGATTTGCTTTCTTAATTCATTAATTTCTGCTTTTATCTTAATCAATTCCAACTTCCTAATTTCTTTTGGTACTTAAACTTGGTAAAAAGGTACATTTTTGTCTTCTTATGTTAAGACTGAAGGCATTTAAGTTTTAATTTTCCACTGAATGTGGTTTTGCTGTGTCCCAGAAATTTGGGAATGGAGTATCCTAATTTCCTTTGCTTTCCAATGGTCTTTAATTCAATTTCCCTCTTTTTTAAAAAAGATTTATTTATTTATTCATGAGAGACACAGAGAAAGAGAGGCAGAGACACAGGCAGAGGGAGAAGCAGGCTTCTCACAGGGAGTCCAATGCAGGACTCGATCTCAGATCCTGGGATCATGCCCTGAGCTGAAGGCAGACACTCAACCACTGAGCCACCCAGGCGTCCCTCAATTTCCCTCTTATGTCCTTTTTACTCTAAATATTTTCTAGAAGTGTGCTTCCTAATATCAAAGTAGTTAATAATATAGTCATCATGTCTTTATTACTACCAATTTCATCCGATTATGATAAAAATATGGCCTTTTGGGGGGGCACCTGGGTGGCTCAGTTGGTTGAACATCTCTCTTGGTTTGGGCTCAGGTCATGATCTCATGGGTCTTGGGATCAAGACCTCCACGGCGCTCTGCACTCAGTAGGAAGTCTGCTTGGAGGTTTTCTCCCTGGGCCTCTTACCCCAGGTATTTGCATGCACATGCTCTCTCTCTCTGTGTCTCTTTCTCTCTCCTTAACACAAATAAGTAAATCTTTAAAAATATATGGCCTTTTCCTGTTTTTCTGCACTGGTTCAGGTTTTCTTTGTGGTCAAATAGATCCATTTTTGCAGCAGTTCAAGTGACCTATGAATAGGATGTATGTTTTCTGTTCATAGAGGTAAGAATCCTTACAATTAAATCAAATTTATTGAGTATTCCTGAATATTGTTCCTTTGTATTTATCGGGCCAAATGCTGAGAATTATAGGGATGCCTGGGTGGCTCAGAGGTTGAGCATCTGCCTTTGGCTCAGGGTGTGATCCCAGGGTCCTAGGATCAAGTCCCACATCGGGCTCCCTGCAGGGAGCCTGCTTTTCCTTCTGCCTGTGTCTCTGCCTCTGTCTCTGTGTCTCTCATGAATAAATAAATAAAATCTTTAAAAAAGAATGAAATCTCTCACTGTAAATGCATTGTTATCCAAGTCTCCTTACAATTCTGGTACTTTTGCTTTGTGTGTTTAATCACATTTTGCTTAGTTCGTATGGGTTACAACACTTTGTAATGTGCTGCTAAAGTGAGCATAGGTTTATGACACTTTGATCTTCCTTATACTTCTTGCTTTTCATATTCACACTTTTCACTTTATTTTATTTAGGTTTTCACTTTAACATTCACCTTATCTGATGTTAATATCACTGGTTATTAACCTTGCTTTTTTGTGTCTGCACACTTAATTCTTTCCAGCCCTTCTTTATTTGGATATTTTGCATGCATTTCTTGTGAGTAACATCTAGCTAGGGTTTGTTTTCTATACCATTCTGACTTCCTAAAATGACCGAAATACTCGATATTATTCTTTCCACTTCCTTCATGCTCACGATTTACAATGTTCTTTCCTCTCAGATGGTTACTATTCATTCCCATTCTCCTTGTTAATTTGCAAGCTCTTCTCCACCTTCCCATGGCACCGATGGCCCCCTGCCCTCTCCCTGCTCTCATAATCAGATGCATATTTTTCTACAATTATTTGAAAGCAAAATTCCAACTGTTTCCCCCTCTAAGCTGCTTTGTCCCTCTCCTGCCCCAAGACAGGCCCTCTGGATCCTTTCACTTCCTCTCTTCTCTCCGTGGACCCCCAGGCCTTGGTTGTGACATGTACGTTGGTCTTACTTTCTGCCTCCCCAGCATCTGTACCCTTCGGTTTTCCTCTCCCCTAGGAGACTTGTGTACTTTAGATTTTAGACCAGCGTTTGGACCAAGTGAGGTATGAATACAAAATGGCTTTTCAAGTTTGTTTTCAATTACTGCCTCCAACTGTGCTCCGTCAAATCTTCATTTCCCCCACCCCTTCCAACATTCCGAACAGCTCCTCTCACTTCCTGGTTAATTTCCTGTATCAAAAGCTCGGTGCAGACTAATTTAACACTTTGATCCCAGCGAATGTTCTTCCTCCTGGCTCAGGACTGGCCTGTGGCCCCAAGGAAGGGGTGGCGGTCTCACTCCCTCTGCCACTCCACGTCTCCTGAGTCCCTTTACCCCTGGTCGCTGGGGCTGGCAGGGGGCAACTGGACAAAGGGCAGGGTCTTTTTACTCAGCTGGGCTCCCGATGCCCTCTGTGGGCAGACGTCCACACTGGCCCGCACCTGCCTACGGCACAGGTCCCAGGAAAGAGAGAGACCGTTCCTGCCTCCTCATGGCTCCTGGACACACCCCCCAGCACCTCTCAAAGGGGTTCCCTAGTCTCGCCAGCATCTCCCCTGGTATCGGCAAGACAGTTCACCCAACAAGCAGTTAGCACAGAGGAAACCACACGTCTTCACATGTCCCCACCCTGAGGTGGCCTCCCTTTGCCCAGACACCTCTGTCTGCTCCTTTTTTTTTTAATTTTATTTATTTATTTGTGAGAGATACAGAGGGAGAGACAGAGACATAGGCAGAGGGAGAAGCAGGCTCCCTCCGGGGAGCCCGATGTGCAAACCCAGGAACCCAGGGTCACACCCTGAGCCAAAGGAAGATGCTCAACCACCGAGCCACCCAGGTGCCCCTCTGCTCCTTTTTTTCTATTTCAGCCAGCTCACATGTCACACAGGCTAGCTCAGCAAGTCTCCTGCAGGAGGATGCACCCCAAGGGACAATGAATCACCACCCTCCTTGTTGCAGACATCCTGAGCTCTATCGGTGATTCTCCTGGGGTCCCACTTGGTTGGATTGGAGAGGCAGGGAGTCCATCTTTTGAGGGGTGTCTGGTTGGAAAGAACACCTCCTTTTAGGCTCCCTGACTCTTACCAATGGTCCAATCTCTCGTTTTCTGTTGGCAAAGAGATAGTGGAGGAGATTGTGGAGGCAGCTCTACCCCTCCCCGGTGAGGGAGGCCCCCACGGGAACAGAGGACCAAAGCACAAAGGAAGTACAGAGCCCTGGGGATGGGATCTCCAGGGCATCCCCCAGGGGATCCCCAGCTTGGAGCTCACGCTGTGTCCAGCTGTGTCCACCCTTGGTGACACCGAGGAGGGGCCGACAGCTGCTCTCAGGACCATTGAGATGCATGGTGCCTGGCCCTGTTCCAACTATGTGCACAATGAACATACACTGGAATAGTATTAAGCCTGAAAAAGGAAGGAGATCTGACCCATGCGTGACACCCATGAGCCGTCAGCACATTCTTCTGGGTGAAATAAGCCGGTCACAGGACACATCCGATGGAGCTGAGTCAGGCTCCTTGATTAGCGGGGAGGTCGCTTCTTCCTCTCTCCGCCTCCTCTCTCTCAAATAGATAAATAAAATCTTAAAAAAAAAAAGAAAGAAAAAAGAAAAAAGTCCTCAAGAGGGCACCTGGGTGCCTCAGTCAATGATGCCTCCAACTCTTGGTTTTGGCTCATGATCTTGGGGTCGTGAGATAGATCCCAGGCCCCGCTCAGTGGGGAGTCTGCTTGGGATTCCCTCTTCCTCTCCTTCCCTCTCTGCCCCTCGCACTCTCATTCTCTCTCTCAAAATAACTAACTAAATAAAATCTTTAAAAACCCGTCCACATGGACCCAGGAATACAGCAACCCGTCAACACGTTTTACTAACTAACTTTCCTGGGTTCCAGGTGCTACAGCCATACTGGTTAAAAAGAGAGAGAGAGAGAAAGAGAGAGAGAGGTGGCCCCTGCTGTCTCAGAGCTCCCACCCAGCAGAAAAGGCACAGTGGCTGGGGTAACAAGCACAGAGGTTCATGGGGACTGAATGGACAACCAGAACCACATGGCCAGTGAGCCTAATTACAGAAACCCAAGATGGGAGGGATGCACTGAGGTTGGTTGATCCAGTCCCAGACTTGCGTGTGTAAGGCTGCACTTGCCGAAAGACCTGCCTGGAGAACGCTAAAGCCAAATCAGGACAGTGAAAACATCTAGGGGGCAGTGAGAGGACTAGATGGAGCACAGCAGGCTTTTGATGTATTTAATTTCTAAAGCTGGGTAGAGGGAATACAGATGTAGTTATTACACATTTTGGACAGTTGAAACATTTCATTTTTAAAATTAAGACTAGTTTTTAGAGCCATTTCAGGAACAGCAAAATTGAACAGAAAGTGCAGAGGTTGCCCAGATCTCCCCAAACCCTGACATATGTGGCCTCCCCAACTATCAACATCCCCCAGTGAAATGGAGTATTTGATAACAACAGTGACTCCACACTGTTGGAGTCATCATCACCACCCAAAGCCCATCATCATCACCCAAAGCCCACAGGTTATATTAGAGTTCACTCTTGATGGTGTCCATTCTACGGGTCTGGACGAATTACGACACTATTCCACTCACTATAGTCTCACGCAGGGTGTTTTCACGGCCTTAAAGAACACAAATGTAGATTTTCAGGTCTCTGGGGCACATCCAAACCCAACTGTCTGGAAATAGTCATCAAAGTGTTTGCTGAGTGAGAGTGTAGACATGGTCTACACCGTGGAGTGAAGCCAAGGAGGGGCAGCTTGAGGTCCTGGGAAAACAGAAAAGAATCACAGAAGCAGAGATAGAAAGCTTCTTGAGGTAGAGCAGGGTGAGAGGCCGTGGAGGCGGACAGGCACACCAGGGCCAGCCGGCAGTGCCGTGGACTTTGGTGCATGGTGGTCACTGGGAGAGCAGCCAACAGAGCCAGTCATCAGATGAACCAAAGGAGTGAGTGATGACCTACTTAGTACTCACTTCAGCATCACTTGTGATAAGCATAGAATTGGAGCAGCCTTGGACCAGACAAGATGGTACCAGCTACATTAAGTGATGGCGCGGCCATTTGATGAAAGGCTTCAGATCCTTAGAAGGGGGAGATGTTCATAATATACTCACACATAAGAGAAGCAAGTCTTAAAATTGTGTATTTTCTATCATCTCGTTTTGGTAAAAGATTTTGTGTAGACGGAGGAAAACTAACCTGGGCAGGACAAACTAGAATGTTACTCTCTGGGTTTATGGGAGACTTGTTCTCTTTTTGCTTATTTATATTTTAAGATGCTTCTGGTGGCTCAGCCGATTGTCTGACTCTTGATTTCCCCTCTGATCATGATCTCAGGGTCCTGAGTTTGAGGCCCACATGGGGCTCTCCTTAGCAAGGAGTCTGCGAGATTTTCTCTCTCTTGCCCTCACCCTCTGCCCCTCCTCTCCTCTCCTTCTCTTAAAAAAAAAAAAAAAAAAGAGGTTTCTGCATTGAAGACAAAACACTTATAAAGAGGAGGAAAGGGGTCTTCCACAGGGAAGTGAGTTCTTCTGGGTTCCCTCCATTCGTAACATTGAGAGAGAGAAGCTGCTGAGAGGGGCAGGGGTCTGTGCACCTCCTACAGGGCAGCAAGTATTTCCCAGGCCCCCACCACGTGCCAGTTCCCCACAAGCCCCCACTACGCACCAGTCCTCCACAAGCAGCAGGGCCTGGGTGCTTGGGTCAAGAATTCAGGGCAATTGGGAGAAGAGTATCTGGGGAGGGGAAACTAAAGGGCCCTGGGCAGCGCTGGGGGCTGGAGGAGCAACCCTGTCGGGCAGGAGAGGGCAGGCGCAGGCTGGGAGGAGTGGAGTGAGGTGGCAGGGAAGGGGCTCCAGACAGCGAGGGCATTTCAAGGGACAAAGTCAGGGGCAAGGCACTACTGACCAAGTCTGTTCAGGGAGCCCAGATGTATCAGTTTGGTGAGCTGGGCGGGACCGTGTGCAATGGGGAGCCACAGAATGTTGAGGAGGACACATGTTGGCAGGAGCTGTAGTACAAAGGACAACTCACAGCCAACCTCGAGAGAAAAAAGAGGACAGTACTTCTCCCAACTGGGAGGGGCCCAGTGGACCAGTGGGAGAGATCTGGGGACCAGCTTCAGGCCTGTGGCCAGGACCCTGGCACCCCTGTGGAGGGACTAGCTTCCCTTTGTTCCTCCCTCCTTCCCTCGCTCTCCATTACACCAGGCATTTGATCTCAGATCCTCTTACCATCAAAAGCAAGACACACACCACTTGAGCTGCTCTTGTAAAGATCCCATCACGAGCCACCCACTGTCCCTGCACCTGGTCAGCCCTGCCCACCCCTGCGCCCTCTGCATCCTCCCAAATCCATCCCCTGGACCTTCTGGAAAGCACAGTCCCACTCCACCCTCCCTGGCTGAACTGGAAATCCAATTTGCCCCTAAGGACTGGGACAAGGACAAGGAACGTGGTTCCTATGGCCCCCTCCCTCCTGAGTCCCTGACCTCAGGCTCCAGTAGAGGGCAGGGCTCCTCTGGACCCCCATGGTGGGTTCCAGACCAGGTCAGCACTTTTATCTCTCCCTCCCCTTCCTGATGTTTCCAAGACCCTGGGCCACTGACAGCACCACAGCCACCGCGTGGGGATCCACTCAGTGCCCCTCACTGTGGTCACTCACACTCAGCCCCAGGGCCTTTCTGTTCTTGGACTTCATTGCCTTCCTTCCGCTCCATCTTTGCCTCCCCCTATCACGCGACTACGTTGGACTTTTACATATTTATTGTTTTCACTGTGAAAACTAGGACAATAAGAAATGATATGCTTTATTCTGGCAACTGATGATGATTCCTGCCTGGGACTGGGAGGGTCCAGGTGGGAACTAAGGGGCCAATGCTGGCAAACAGGCCCCCTCGTCCCACTGGTGTGTGTGTGTGTGAGAGAGAGAGAGAGAAAGAGAGAGAGAGAGAGAGAGAGAGAGAGAGAGAGAGATGGGTGCACCTGACAAACTTTACCAGTTTTACCATTTCAAGTGTGTGCATCCTGAGGCATCAAGCCCGTCCATGCTGATGTGCAGCCGTCACCCCCATCCACCTCCAGAACTCTTCATCCTGAGAAACAAACCCACATTCACCACTAACTCCCCAGCCCCCAGCAACCAGGGCCTACCTTCTGTTTCTGCGAACTTGACAACTCAAGCCACCTCGTATGGGAGGAATAATACAGTACTTTTTCACCCAGCGTGATGTGAAGTGTTCATGGCTGACCCATGTCGTAGCCAGAATTTCCTTGCTTTCGAAGACTGAATAATATGCCCTTGAATGCACGTACCACATTCTGTCCATCCGTCCATCGATGGACACTTGCGGTGCTTCCATGTCACATGCGGTGCTCTCATGATTAAGGCTGCTGCAAACACAGGCCTGCAAGGATCTGCTCACATCTCTGCTTTCAGTTCCTTGGGGGGCTATACCCAGAATTGGAATTGCTGGGTCGTAGGGTAATTCTGTGGCTAGTTTGCTGAGCACCTGCCATGCTGGTTTGTGTTCCTACCAGCTGCGCATCGGGGCTATGGTTTCTCGAATTCCCACCGACACTCCCTCAAGCAGGTGACTCACTCACCACAGCGGGCCGGTGGGTGTCAGGGTGCGCTCCGGAAAACCCGCTTTCTTTCCCCACCGATGATGCCCACTATCCAGTTTCAGTTGAGGCAGAAAATACCAGGCCCCGGTGATTGTCAGAACCTCTTAGCTGTCTGTGGGTGACAGCCATGCCAGGCTGGGCACCCCACCTCACCCCGTGCCCCACACTGGTCCTCAACTACGGATCTCCCTGTGGGAAGGGGTCACTTCTCAGCTGCCCTGGTGACCTCTGGCCTTGCCAGGGTTGAGGAGTGAAGACAGGGAAGGGATCAGGGAAAGCTGAGGGAGGAGCCAAAAGCTTTCTCTTTCTTCCAAGCTAAGATGTTGGAGAGCTTCCCACACTCCATCCACCCCTGGCTTGCCGTGACACCGGAGACTCCATCTGTCCCCCTGCCCTTAGCCTCTGATGGAAAATCTCATTCTTTTCCATTTTATTTTATTTTTTTAAAAATATTTTATTTATTTATTCATGAGAGAGACAGAGAGGCAGAGACACAGGCAGAGGGAGAAGCAGGGTCCCCCCGGGGAGCTCAATGTGGGACTCAATCCTTCGACCCCGGGGTCATGCCCTGGGCTGAAGGCAGCCCCTCACTGAGCCACCCGGGTGGAAAACCTCTAGTTTTTGCCCCAGCGTCCCCTTCCGCGGACCGGACAGGCCCGGGCTCTTGCTGTCAGGCCCCCGGGCCTCCTCCACGACACCCCGGCTCATCCTTTAGCCCTACCGCGTGTTTGAGAGCTGCTGGCCAGATGGACTCTTGGCCGTTTGATTTTTCAGGGGTCAGACACCTCTCCAGAATGTTCCCTAAGCTTCGGAAGAGACGTGTGAAAGTTCTCCCACAGGCCCTGCTGGAGGGACTTGCGAGCCGCCCCCCGCCTTCGGGCAGTGCTCAAAGCCCTGTGTCGGCCTGGGCACCCCAAAACGCAGGGCCGGAGATAAAGCTCCTGCTGCATGCAGGGCCTTCTCCGGGGTGTGTGGTGCCAGGGGAGCCCGAGTGAGGCGGGGACGGAGGGGCAACGGCTCGAGGTGCTGCCGAGGGCGCGACCGCCGGCTGCGGGCTCCTGCAGGACCTCGGAGGACCGGCCTCCACGAAACGCGCGGGGGCAGCCCGGCCGGTCTCAGGGGAGCGGCACGCGGTCGGCCAGGGCCTGGGGCGGGCCACCCCGCCCACCCGGCTTGCTTAGGGCCCCCTCTGGTGGCCACTGCCGCGAACTACAACACGTTGTGCGCGCTTCCTGGGTCATCCAGCGGCCCCTGCCCCACCTCGCGCTGGTTCGGGACCCTCAGCCCCTCCGCAGAGCCCTTGACCGGGGGTTTGCGTATGTCCTCGCCTCTGGCCTCGGCGCCCTCCGCATGAAGCAGGCCCGCTTCCTGAGGCCTCTGGCCACCCGGCAAACAGGGTCTTGCATGTGATCTGGCTCCACCTGTCGGACAGAACCTGTCTGGATCCTAAAGCAGGAGCGAAGTGCCCCCCCCCCCCCCCCCCCCGCCCCGGGAGCCTCCTCTCCGACGCCAGCCTTGGTTGTGGTTGTCACCGGCTCAAACGCCCAGAGCAGCAGCGGATGCAGGCGTACAGCACCGCAAGGATGTCCTTCTGATACCGGTTCTGCGTGACCAGATTTCTGATTTTGTTCCCAGCTCTCCTGGCCTTCCCCCAAATTCTTTGCATGGTCTTTTTTTGTCCCCGCCCCCACTTCCAAATTCCTTTTTGCTTAAATCGGCCAGAGTCCTTTCGGCTTACGGTAGATGACAGCGATGGCCAGAGGAGTCCTCCCCACCCCTGTGTGCAGGTGGTTTCGCGATATGTCATTGCTATAATTCCATGAATCGGGTCTTGGCCGATGGGACATTAGCAGAGATGGCTCGGCAGGGGCTCGAGGAGGGCAGGTGCCCGGGGCCTGCGCTCTCGTGTCCTGGGACACAGACAGGGCTGGCCCGCCCCGCGGGTGATGACCGACAGGTGGCCAAATCATCCTTGCTGCCCCAGCTCACCATCAGGTGAACCTACACAAAAGAGCAGGCCACCTGAGCCACACAGAGCACCAGGCAGGCTGAGCCCAGACAGGGCATCTGTTTGTCTCCTCATTTCGGGCTGTCCTCGCCCAGCTGCCTCCGCTGCCCGGCTGCAATGGAGGAGCCGGAGAGGCAGAAGTCAGAGGGACAAGCAAGGGCCACTTCCGCCCCCTGGGACTTTCTGTCTCTCTTTTGGGGCCAACCCCAGGAGGCGGTTGAATCTTTGGGGGCAAGAGTTTCTGGGACCCCTGGGTGGCTCAGCGGTTGAGCATCTGCCTTTGGCTCAGGGCGTGACCCCAGGGTCCTGGGATCGAATCCTGCGTTGGGCTCCCTGTGGGGAACCTGCTTCTCCCTCTGCCTGTGTCTCTGCCTCTCTCTCTGTGTTGCTCATGAATAAATAAAAAAATCTTTTAAAAAAAAGTTTCCAAAAAAAAATTAAAAAATTAAAAAAAAGTTTCCTTGGAGGAAGGGGGATCGTCTAAGGACTCACCTCACTGCCCCCCTGAGGAAGGGAGCTGGGCTTCTGGAGAGCACCAGGGGACTTCTCTGAGTGCTGTCCTTGCAAGCTAGTGCACCTTCTCTAAGGTCCTCCTTGGCTCTCAACAGGGCCTTGACAGCGGCCCCTTGTGAGGCGTCACCTTGCCGTCTGCTCCCATCTACCAGGCCTCCCCTACCTTCCCCCATGCTCCACCCACCCCACCCCCGCCATGAGTACTTTGTCCTCTCTCACGGTGCAGTGAGGAACCCAGACCCATCCCAGGGTCCCATGGGCGCCCAGGAAGCCTCATCATTCCTGTGGCTGGGTGCCCTCTGTCGGCTGGGGACAGGATTCATTGGGGGGGGGCTCTCAGCCCTGGGCTGGGGAGGGAGGGCTGCCGGGGGGGACAGGTGGGTGAGGGGGCTCTGGCTGGGTCACAAGTGCCTTCTCCAAGGCCAGAGAAGGCCTGAGGTGGGACCCTCTGCTGTGGCTGACACAGCGTGGGCCACAGGGGTCCATAGACACATGACTTGAGAGGGAATTATTTGTTACAATTTACATACACACACTTATTTCATATTGTAAACACGTCCAAAACATAGCACTAAATTGTTTATGGAGGTCCAGCCCTGCAACAAGGCAGGGGGGGCTTGGTTTTGTGTAGTGGGCACATCCAGGCACCCTGCTGAGGTGCAGCGGAGGCCCATGGACAGGCTCCCTGGCATGTGTCCTGGAGGGGATGCTAACTTCAGCAGTTAGAACAACTCCAGGCAGCTGTTTCTAGGAACAGAGTATGCAGCCCAGCCTAAGAGAGCATAGTGTTGCCTATTTTTAGAATGAAAGGCAAAGCTACCACCATTTATTGAACACCTGCTAAGTGCCAGTCATTGTGCGAAGGGCATCTTTCCCACAGAAGCTGTTTTAGCAGGTACTACTTCGATTTTCTCCTGTGGATGAGGAAAAGAAATGGAGGCTCAGGAAGGTGAGGTGACTTGCCCAAGGCCACACAGCAAGAGTAAGCAGCCGAGAGCACCATTTGTCAAAGAACCAAGAAAAACAGTCACTCCCTCAAAATGTTCCAAAATGAAGAATAGTGAAAATTTTGCCTTCTGTATATTTACTAACAGTTTCATGAATTATTTTATTTTTTTAAAGATTTAAAAAAAAGATTTTATTTATTTATTCATGAGAGACACACAGAGAGAAGCAGAGACACAGGTAGAGGGAGAAGCAAGTTCCCTGTGGAAACCCAATGCGGGACTCGATCCCAGGACCCCTAGGATCACAACCTGAGCTGAAGGCAGATGCTCAACCACTGAGCTACCCAGGCATCCCTGTGAATTGTTTTAAAGCAGAAGTGTGACCTGAGTTTTGCTTCTGACCCACCGACACTATTTCTCATCCATGTTAACTGGGCCTAGCAGAGGCCATGGATGCACAAGGAAAACTTGACATTCGGTGGACACCACAGACATATCTCTGTCATTATCATTTGCATCCTGGATGCTGGCTTCTTCTGCTATTTTTTTTTAAGATTTTATTTATTTATTCATGAGAGACACAGAGTGAGAGAGGCAGAGACACAGGCAGAGGGAGAAGCAGGCTCCATGCAGGGAGCCTGATGCAGGACTTGATCCTGGAACTCCAGGATCATGCCCTGGGCCAAAGGGAGGCGCTAAACTGCTGAGCCACCCAGGCATCTCCACCTCTTCTGTTATGAATCGACATGCCAGCGGCCAGCAAACTACCACCTGCACACTAGGTGTACAAATTAAAAGTGCTTTTTACACTTTTAAATGGATAGAAAAGTAAAAAATAAAATAAGACTATTACGTGACACATGATGATGCCATGAAATTAAAATTTCAATGTCTGGATATAAAGTTTTATTGGATATTGGATATCCAATTTTGTTGGATATAAAGTTCACCTGTGTATTGTCTATGGATGCTTTTCGGTGTTAAAACAGCGAGGTGCTCAAAGCCTGAAATACTTACTATCTGGTTGTATACAGGAGGTTCATGAGCACCTAGTATCCTCGACCACTCTGGCCTGGCCCAGATTCTGGTGTTTTTGTGATCATGTGAAAGGAAGCTCTGGTCTCCACAATAAGCTGTTTATGCAAGAAGCATCCCGTTTCCCAAATAAGCGCCAGTTTTCATCTTCTGAACTGACCTGCTTTCTGCCAGCTGCCGGCTTGTTAGCGACTTAATGCTGACATGTGCCCGAGACCAGCTTGTCTAAACAATGTGAGTTCAGCACATTCTTGGGGGAAAGGCTCCACTCCCAGAAACAGATGTGCCAAAGAGAACACAGCGTGCAACGGACGGAGGGAAGAAACAGCTTCTGACGGGGCTCGGGGTCAGCAGGGAAGACAGAGCCCGCCGGGAGCCCTAACCTGCCGTTTACTCAGGGCTCGCCACGTGTCGGGAACTGGTGTGAGCACCCCGGGGACTACGCGCCCCGTCTACACAATAAGCCCGATGGGCCGGTTCTAGTGTGATGTCCATTTTACAGGCCAGGAAGGCAGGGCCCATGTCACAGTGCACACCCAGGGGAAGGAGGCGCGCAAACAGGTGTCCAGGGAGAGGACACCCATGGCTCTGGGATCCACTTTCCTCTTCTGAGCTGGGGGACTCACCATCTGGGGACACTTGGCCCGGGCCGGGTATTGTGCAGCTCCCAGCAGCTCTTGACTGGGGACAGGGGAGGCGGGTGCGGCGGGACTGAAGGGAATGTCCTTTTCCACTAGCCTTTCCTCCACCTTAACCTCCCTTCACCGGTTCTATTTCTTAGCTGGTTATGTGCCTTTTGTTTTCCTATACCTAGAAAACCTTGTTTCTAAAAACAACACAGGACTGTTTTCATAGTAAAGGGGATTAAGAAGAAAGAAAAAAAACCTCATGCTCAAAATATTCTGGGTTTCCCCTAGAAACCGTGCCCACTCTCCACCCTCAGTTTAAGGCACCCCATACTGGCTGGGCCGCCCGCGCTTCCTGCTCCTGGGGATCCCTGAAGGAGCCGTCACCTGGTCTATTTTCAGAGCATGCCATCCACTCATCTGTCATCTCTCCAGAGACCTGCTTAGCTGGACCCAAAAAATAGCCTCTGTGGGGGCCCTCAGAACCCCTGGTCCCAGGCTTCCTGTGGCTGCTTCCTGGCAGGCTTATGTGTGCTAGGCACGAAGTCTTTTTGTCGCCCGGACGGCCCACTCGGGAATGACCTGCAGACCAGGCCCTGCCCCACCCTGTCTTCCTCCCCAGCCTCTCCTCGCAGATGCAGACGGGAGCCTGGTGCTCCTGCAGACCCAGCCTGGGGGCACAGGAGCCTCATCCCGGAGATGGGGAGGGCAGGACAGGACAGGGGAGGAGGAGTAACTGGCTGGGGCCTCGATGGTTTGAGACAAAGACAACAAGCCGCACTCCTTCTGGGGGGCTGGGGGTGCCTGGCACCGTGTGACCGTGAGGCCGCGTGGCCACAGTGGGGGTAGACTCCAGGTTCCTGGGCCCGTTCCCAGCTGCTCAATCTCACAGCAACATGTGAAAACAAACAGGGAAACTGCAGAGTGGGTCAACCAAATGCTCCAGTTTATTAATATGCCACAGAAGCCCTCTCACTGGAGGTTAAGGGTGGTTTCTGAGACCTATGGCCCCGGGCCCCGGCTCCAGGTCCCGCACCGTCTGCAGAGAGCTGCCGACTTCACCTGCTTCCCGAAACCTGCGGCCCCCAGCTACGTAGAGGATGGGTCCAGATGACACGGAACTGCCTCTCTCCCTCTTCCTGGGCATCAGCAGAGGGTGTCATAAGGATGTGGGGGTGAGCAGGTTTGGGGAACTAGGCACATCTCACAGAAGGGAGAGCTCCCTGCACCCAGGCTCCCCCCAACCCGGAGGTCCAGACCCCTGCCAGTGGCAGCTCCAGCCACTACACAGCCGTGGGGCCTTTCTCTTGGTGGGGGTGCAGGGATTCTCCCCAAGTCTGTTTTTCCATCTGTAAAATGTGGTATGAGGATAAAATAAAGTAATAAATAGTAGATTGATACAGACACTTCATTAACACGACCAGACTGACCACAAGGGCAAATAAAGGATGTCTGAATGCAGGTGGCCGGGTAGGTCAGCCGGAGGAGCTGTGTCCTCTCACAAGTTGTCCAGCTAGAGCAAGCATGGCTCCAGGGAGCCCTAACTCCAGGCCTTTCCCCCAACAAACACAAAACAAACTGTTGTCCACCCATCCCCAGAACGAAACAGCAAGGAGCTGCGGACAACCAGCACCCTAACAGCTAGCGTTGCTGAGGGCTGCTCAATGTCATGCTTGCTAACTTGTTTCATCCTTGCTGTGACTCCCTAAGCTCTGTGCTCTCTCCCCCACTGACAGATCCAGAGGCGTCAGGACACGTGCCCAAGGACACACAGCTATCACAGCTATGTGTGGGGCAGCTGGAGGTCCAGACCAAAGGGACCGCCATACCTAAGGACGGAGAGAGCAGTTGTCAACCAACAAGGGCCCGGCCGGCCTCTCCTAGTGATGGAAGCCAGTGCTCATGGAGCAGGGCCATCCCAGGGCGGGAGGGCACTAGTGCAGGGCACTAGCAAGACAGGGTGCCTGGCAACCTCGCCCAGAAGCCTGCCCCCTGCCTCCCCTGAGTGCAGACATCAGAGGAGCCTCTATGCCAAGGGTGGGAGCAGGTGCAGGGCTCTAAGAAGCCCAGGTACTAAGTCAACTCTGCAGCCTCCTGGGCTCAGATCCACTCGCAGGAGGCACCCTGGCAGCTGCCAAAAGGGAACACACCCCACAACACAGAAGCTCTTTATGGCATGTGGAACATGGGGCTCAGAGGCCCTCTGTGAAAAAGGGGACCCCCACAGAGCCTGGCCTGCAGAGTGCAGACATGTGTGCTCTTGCTCTGCCTGGCCCCTGTGGGGTCAGTGTGCATGGGCTGCAGGGACAGCAAGCTCTTAGGCTCCGTCCCTGCCCCTCCCAGTCTGGTCCCTGAATTCACGCTGGCCCTTCGCCTGTTCAGCTTTGCCTCTTCCACACAAGCTGAGACTTTCGGGGCTGACCATCAGTCTCCTGGGGTGTGATGCTTTTCCAGGTGGATGGCTCCTGACGTGGCTCCCTCTGATCCAGGTGAGGG